GATTTTTCTCTCCCAGATATTTCTATTTTCTTTTCAGATTGTGTCTAATTTAATGTAAATTATATTCATATTTATATTCTAATCTCAAAAACAACTCTATACTGCCCTCTACTTCTTAACCCATGTCTTCCACACCGTCTATGTCTCCCTGTGCATGCTCAAAACATGTTTTCAGTGTTTTCTCTCACCTTGTCATTTAACTTTTGACTCATGCACTTCACAGATCTTCAGGTTCAACCCTCGCTACATCCTTTTCATCCACTTGGTGCTAAACAAAACACTCCAGATGACAGTCAGCGTGTCCCTCTACATCTTAGCCCATGCCTTCCACACAGTCTATGTCTCCCTGTGCATGCTCAAAACATGTTTTCAGTGTTTTCTCTCACCTTGTCATTTAACTTTTGACTCATGCACTTCACAGATCTTCAGGTTCAACCCTCGCTACATCCTTTTCATCCACTTGGTGCTAAACAAAACACTCCAGATGACAGTCAGCGTGTCCCTCTACATCTTAGCCCATGCCTTCCACACAGTCTATGTCTCCCTGTGCATGCTCATCCTCCTGCCGGCTATTCTCACCACCATGAACACTCCATTGAATCTGGCCTGCATGGCAGCAGAATGTTACATCTCCGTCTGCATCCCCCTTCGCTATGACAGTATATGTACTGTTAAGAAAACCTACATTGTCATTGGCATTATGTGGGTGATAAGCTTGCTCACTATTCTACCTGACATCTTTATTCTTTTGATTACTGAAGAGCTGCATTTTTTGAAAACGAGAGTTTTCTGTGACAGGGACAGAGTGTTCAGAGGCAGCTACAGTAAAAATAAGATGCATCCCACATATTTTTTCTGGTGGTTGTTTGTCTCACTCTGTTCTACACTTATTTCAGAATTTTCCTTGTGGCAAAAGCTGCAAATTCTGATGCTAAAAAAGCAAAAAACACAATTCTGCTTCATGGTTTTCAGATGTTGATGTGCATGACATTGTTTGTGCAACCTTTGCTAAAGCAGCTCCTCACATACTTGTTTCCTGGGCAGACGATTTACATACAAAATGTTATTTTTGTGTTGATCCAGATCATTCCTCGCTGTCTAAGTCCTGTTGTTTATGGGATACGTGACAGAACTTTCAGAATGCACTATAAAAAGTACTTCATGTGTTTCCAAGTAAAAGAAATAAAGGTAGAACCCTAACAGAACTCCAAAAACATTGGCTACAGAAGCTGGCAGTGTTTCTGAGTGTTGTTGTTGTACGACTTTTGCTTCCATGGTAGAGTTTTAACTTGCACTTGTAGACTCAGTGTTCCTGAGTCCATATGATGATAATTGTGGCTGTATGATGCTGGTTTTTAATGCATTGCTGCCTTTGGGCATTCAATATTGATTTTTGGCTTTTTCACTTACTAACAGAAATTTCTCCAGAGACTTTGGGGATGCTCCGATCATGACAGCTGTTTCTAATTAACCTGTTCACATGAGGAATGCCCAAACAAGTGCTGTTTGGGCATTCCTCAACTTTCTCAGTCAAAGTTGTCCCCGTGTCCCAACCTTTTTGGAATATGGTATCAAATTCCAAATGAATTAATATTGGCAAAAACACAATAAAGTTGATCAGTTTATATATTAAATATATTGTCTTTGGAGTGAATTCAACTTAAAATAGATTGAAAATGATTTGCAAATTATGATATTCTGTTTTTAGTTATGTTTTGCACTTCACTGGAAATGGGGTTGTACCAGATTCTATTGGACAGAATCAAGAAACATTTTTTTTAAATCAACGTTGTGGATTAACTTGGCTAATCTTTGCTCTATGGCCATAGATACAAGTGATATTTTTACCCATGAATAATTAGTAAGTTAAAATTAAATAAGTTAAAAAGATATCACAGATGGTCAGATCAAGTGAAAACATATAAAATCAAAAGTAAAAGAAAAAAGGATAAATGTGAAAGTTTGGACATTTGAAGGCAAAACCCTCAAATGTTTGTACCGTTCTGTATTTTTCCCCAAGTTTTTATTATATTTGATCTCTAGTGTCTGTTGTTGTGCCAGGGAAATGTGCTTTTATAAAAAGAAGGTTCAGTTTATAAAGTAAAATATAAAATAACTATTCTGCACTGAAAAAGCCCAGGTTCAATTTCCTCAGAATAACTAATTAATACCCAGAAGAAAATCGTATCTTCATCAAGTGTTGGGAGGAATTAAAATAGCCATAAATAGCAGAACATCAGCCATATGTCAGACATTTCCAGACTGGGCAAGCTGAAGTCTGGAGTATCCATCAGAGGTAGGATCACCTTTTACATTTATCCTCTGAACTTATATGTTCTTGTTTCACACTTCATTCTATACTTTATTAGACCTTAATGTGCTTATTTTACAAAATACTAGCAGTAGTTCTTTGATAAAACTTGTATGCACAGCATGTGCATTTAAGGAGTTGTGATAAGTCATTTAATTTTTACATTCACTACATTATCTAGTGCATATTTCCAGTGTGGACTAATACTTAAGTATTCCTCATTTTGGTGCTTATAGAAAACACTAATGGCTTCACCATTTTTAGCAACTACAGTATGAAAAAAAATTGGTATGGCATAAAAAATCTAGGTTAAACAAAGAGATGTTATATCAAACTACATTTTAATACTACTACTATTATAATGCCTTTATTGGCTAAGATACATTGTAAGTATCCAATGCTCTTATATTTATCTTCTAGAACTTTGTGTATGTCTTCTAAACAAAATGTTTTTAAAATTGTTTACTTAAAAGTAAATTGTTTAAGAGGTATTTATTAGATGACTGTAGTTCTTTACATAAATAAAAATATGAAATGAAAAATTGTGAAAGCAGCACACTTTAATTTCCTACATGTCTGTTTTGAAATAAATGTTAATTATTTCCATTGTTTTCTTTCTTCCTGATTTGACTTTTTTTTTTGCATCAGAAAAATCTGGCCTCACTGTCTTTTTTTCAAGGGAGTGTAATTATTTGATCACAGAGTTTGAATTGTCATTAATATTCATTCAAAAAAAAGACATAAATAGAAAACACCACACAGTGAATATGTAAACATTGAAGCTGAAGAGTGACCAAAATTTTTCTTATTATAAATATCACTGTAGGGTTTCCTGGATCTACCAGATGAATTCCTCATCTTTAAACTTCACTGAGTCGAGCAGCCTGACTTATAGAGACTCTCCCAGCTCTGCTGTGGCTAAGAATGTGATCGTCTTGGCTCTTGGCATCACCATCAACTATATCAACGGGACATTGATTCACACCTTCAGGAAACACCAGGTGAGCATTTATTATCACTGTGTTGTCATGCTGAAATATCATTGTTGTGAAACCAATGGTTATCATTGGCAGCTTAAGGAGAAAATTAAAGGTGCTGTGTTTTTTCTCTCTTTCAGATATTTTATTTGAATCCTCGTTACATCCTTTTCATCCATCTGGTGATAAATGACATGATCCAGCTGACTACAGCAATCGGCTTATTTGTGTTTAGTTATGTCTTCCAAACAATTAATACTTCCTTATGTTGCTTCATTGTTACCTTTGCCGTTTTCACCACTCTTAATACGCCGTTAAATTTAGCTCTGATGGCGGTGGAGTGCTACATTGCTGTATGTTTCCCACTGCGACATGCTGAACTTTGCACCATAAAACGAACATATTTTCTCATTGGCTGTATTTGGAGTTTAAGCGCAGCATCGATTTTGCCGGATGTCTTTCTTATCCTCGCAACAGAGCCTCTAAGGCTATTTTACGCTACAATATTTTGTGAAAGAGACATTCTGTTCCGACATCCTATAAGTATTCAAAAGAGGGATATTTCTCACATAATCTTTTTATCTCTTGTCTGGCTCACCTTTTTTCTTACTTATTTAAGGATATTTTTTGCTGCTCAAGCTGCTAGTTCAGCTGAAGAAAAGGTGAAACGAGCCAGGAATACTGTCCTACTTCATGGGTTTCAGCTGTTTTTGTGCATGCTAACATATATAGCTCCTATGACAAAACATGTCCTGTCATTTCTGTTCCCAAAATATAATGTTCATATCTTATTTGTCTGGTACATATTGGCCCAGATACTGCCCAGGTTTTTGAGTCCTATTGTGTACGGGCTGCGAGATAATACATTCAAACAGTATTTGAGAAAGTATCTGCTGTGCACCATCAGAGCAGCCAACAAACTTTATCCTTAAAGCTTGTGAGGTTTGGAGGGTACCTGTCCAGTAATTTAGATGAGATTACAGAATCCTGTTTGCATGTTATCTTCATTGTAAAATTCTTTGTAAAAATTACAAACCATAATAGCTAAAACTGATCGTTTGCATACATAATTAGAAAATGTGATGTAAATGTAAACCTGTGAAGCATCCCTCTTGCGGTAAACACAGACAACCACCAGGAAATTTGATGTCTTATGCTTTTATTTTGAAGGCTAACTTTTCTGTCTTTGAGGTCAACTTCCTGAAGGCTAGCTTGATGGCGTACACACATGATGGCAGCCTGGTCAGACTTCACTAGGAGGGAATTCCCTAATCATCCATCTCACTGGGGTGGACCACCAGGTGAAGCTGAGGGTTAAAGTGGACTGAAAGTTTGGTTGTTGTTTTGTGTAATATTTGAATAACTTGGTAGTGAGTTGTGAATGAGTGTGTGCTGAATAATTTTCTTTACTAATTTATATAGATTTATTTGGAACTGCTTTGCTTAGGGGATCATGGATGCTTGTACCACAACCTGTAACTGGTGAGATGTTTGAAAAAAAATTAATAAAAAATACATTCAGAACTCTGGAAAACAGCTGAGGCCTTTTGATGCCCTTTTCTGCTTTCTCATGATTTCCATCCTGTTTGAGGGTTCTGCATCACAAACTCCCACGTGTTTGTTTCATAATTGGTGTTACGTCCACCAAGGGCACAACATACTTGAGGACACGAGACAAAAGATGAGGGTTCAACAAAATATTTTATTCATAAATTCTCTTCACTTTGTTTTTCTTAATTCAGGTTCTTCTGCTTTTCTGTGAAGAAAATAATATTCAAACCCTCAAATCCCGTGTCCCAAAGAAAAATAAAGAAAACAAAACCCCGAAAGTAGTAACAGAAAGGTGGACCTGGTGAGCCGATCAAACATAACAAAACGGTACAGCAGGGGGCCAACCCTATACAGGGCCGTCGAAGCCCCTACTCGTACCGGACTAAAACAAAAATAACCTAATGCAAAAGAAAGATCGAAAACAGGACAACCGGTCCCACCAGGCCAAAATCACAACGAAAAAACAAACAAAGGTTAACAAAGATACCGCATGGCAGGCTGGAACCCTCAGCTGCGGCCCACAGCAGCTGGTGGTGGTGGAGCGAGCGGGAGCGAGCGGAGAGGCGGAGCCCAGGCGGGAATGGAGGGGAGGCTCCCTACATGCCGAAAGCCAGCCTATTTATAGGCGGACCAACAGCACCACAAATTAACGTAATTAAATATCCAAAAAGAAATTATCCAAACTCCAAATTATATTTACAAAATGTCATTTAATCAAGGTCTACAGAAAACAAAAAAAAAAAAAGTAGACAAAAATCATAATGTGCCTGAAGCACATAACAATTGGTTACTGTATTATGTTCTTATGGTGTAAAGCACTTTGAACTGCCTTGTTGCTGAAATATGCTGTACAAATAAACTTGACTTAAATCCCAAAAAGCCCTTTTGGATGCACCTCAAATCTGGACAAAACGTGAGAGCTGTGAGTTGTGTCAGAAATATGCGGAAAAATTATTTCTTTATTGAAATAGAGCTGAAATACTAGAATGTCTATAAAGAGGGATTTACATTTTTAAATTATTGCATTTCAAAATATGACTACTCCCTTTCATGCAATTTTCAGGACGACATCAGGAGCTTTTGCAGATTTGTTTTTTCTTCCTGTAAAAAGGAATTACAAAAATCCTGACCTTGATATGTAGCAAGTGAATGGATCAGTTTTTCATTGTCACTCTGAAACAATAATTTTAGCTATGTTGAAAAAAACATGTCCTACAAACCTGCTTCTTGAGGGGAGGACATGCTCTGGTCAAAGATAACATCTACATTCTCTATAGTTTATGTGACTAATACTTCTTTTAGGCATTTCTTGTGAAGTTTCCTTTATCTCAGCATCTACAGCTCACCATACTACCATACATAGAAAGAAAGGGAAGTAAAATGATTTTCATTCAAAGTGAAACTTTAGAACCTCCCATGTAATCCTATCTCAGTTCTGATCCAGACAGAAATTACAAGAAAATCATGGATGCTTTTACCACTACTCAACACCTACATTAGGGAAATAAGTTTGCACAGTTTTTACTTGACTACCTCCGACGACTTAAGTAATACCCAGGAGAAAACTATACCTACATTCAACTTTGGTAGGACTGAACCTTCATATAAAGCAATATTTCACACTCAACCTCTGACTGGCAAAACAGACAAGAGTGACACATCTAAGGTAGGACATCTTTGCACTTCTCATGTGTGCTCTATTGTTTCAACTATTGTATTTTCTGAATGATGGCTGTGGAATAAAGATATTTAGGGACCTATCATAAATACTCCAAATATTAATGTTTTATGTTTTCAGCATTAAATCCTGTTATCAATGTTATATGGGAAATTTATGTCTTAAATATTTGCTTCAGATTCAGTTGTTTGATGGTGAAGTGTATGGCATAATGTTTTTGTTCTGAATGTGTTGCCATGTTTTTGTGTTCAGGGAAAAGAATAATAACTGCAAAAGTAAAAGAAAAAATAAAAATAAAAAGGCAAGAATGGATTTTTTTAATGAATTTTAAAGACATTCAAGATATTACAAATTCAAATTGCAATGTATTGAGTAAAACTCAATTTGTTTACAATTGTCCTTGATAAGAAACAACTGGAATATAGTATGTTATAGTCCGTTTTTAACCTTTCATCACTTTTTGCATTATTTTGCTAGAGCAATGTAATTTTTGTCATATTTAAAGGACATGATTTTAAATGGTTTACAAAGCAATAACCTCCTTTAAAAAAATTGCATTTTCTCTAAAATCTTAGCTTACTTTTCTGTATTATTGCCGTCATCAGTGCATTTGTACATGACATGCCATTATCCATAACATATGAGGACTTACTGTATGGAGTTGTTGGTCTAATCTGCTTTAATTCATGCTGATTCATGCGTTTAGTTGTGCCATAATGCCAGGCTGGCCTGTCCTGACTCTGTTGCCCATCAGTTACTTAGTGCATTTTCTTAAGTATTATAGGCAATTTTGCATCAAGCAAATGTTTTTCCTAAACACAATGACAAAACAGGTCACAGTGAGGTTTTCATATAATAACCATCTGTTTTGCTACAAGGATCTCCACAAGCAACGGGAAAGTAATTGACAGAGTTAGGCAATGAGTTCTCTTCTACTGTATCTGGAGCAAAACACTTCACTCAAGGAATCTACCTAGATGATCTGGTTGTAAAGTTCAGCATGCTTATTTTTATTTTATTAGTTAAAAAGTCAGAAGAAATAAAAACAACATATACAAAATTGTAAGAACACCAACAACTAATATGAAGACAAAAATATGTATATGAAGTAAATACTGTCTAAACTCTTCCAGAGATAATTTGTTCTAAGCACAAGAACAATGTGCCTTTAAAATTCAAACATTTAAAATACTAATGTTGTACTATACTAACGTGAATGTTATCTGTTCATAGAGATAAGCAAAAATTGAATCTACCAGATGAATTCCTCATCTTTTAGCAACATGTCGAGCAGCTTAATTTATAGAGACGCTCTCAGCATTGCTGTGACCAAAAATGTGCTCATAGTGGCTCTTGGCATCACCATCAACTATATTAATGGGGCACTGATTCACACCTTCAGAAAACATGAAGTGAGCCTTTTTCTGTCTTTGGCAATTTTTGAATAAAATCATACCAAATGAATAAAATCACTTAAAATATCCTTTTTTTTCTCTCTTTCAGATATTTTTCATGAATCCTCGTTACATCCTGTTCATCCATCTGGTGGTGAACGATATGATCCAGCTGACTACATCCATCAGCTTGTTTGTTCTCAGTTATGTCTTCTACAGAATTAGTACTTCTTTGTGTTGCTTCATTGTTACCTTTGTTGTTTTCACCTCTGTGAACTCTCCTTTAAATTTAGCTCTGATGGCGGTAGAGTGCTACATCGCCGTTTGTTTCCCACTGCGACATGCTGAACTGTGCACCATCAAACGAACATATTTTCTCATTGGCTGTATTTGGGGTTTAAGCGCAACAACAGTTTTGCCAGACATCTTTCTTATCTTTGCAACAGAGCCTCTATGGCTGTTTAACTCTACAGTATTTTGCGATAGAGATACTGTTTTCCGACACCCAATAAGCATAAAAAAAAGAGATGTTTCTTATATAATTTTTTTATCTGGAGTTTGGTTTACACTTTTATTCACGTACGTCAGGATCTTTTGTGCTGCTCAAGCTGCTAACTCAGCTGAGGGAATGGCAAAGGCCAGAAATACTATCCTGATTCATGGTTTTCAGCTACTTTTGTGTATGCTAACATATGCAACTCCTTTGGCAAGAACGTTTCTGGCGTTTCTGTCTACTGCACAATATGTCCAAGCATATTTTTTTTGGTACATACTGATCCAGATTCTTCCCAGATTTGTGAGTCCCATTGTGTACGGGGTACGAGACAATACATTTAGACAATACTTGAAAAAGTATCTTTTGCGCAGCATCAGAGAAGCCAACAAACTACATCCGTAAGTGTTTCTTGTGTCGGTATAGATATCCTAAACTTGATCATTTTAAAACCTACACTGTGCTATCTGTAAAATTAGACAAAGCATGTTTCTGATTCAAGCAAACAAAAATGACCTGTAATAAACATTATTGGATGTGTGACAGGAAACAAAATCAGATTCACCTTTGAATCACTGAAAGATTGTCTACTTTCATTCACTGTGCAGTCTTTGACTCAGTTCAAATAATAGCCTTTTAAATTGAACTTTGGTGTATTGTAATGGTTCGCATATATACTTCTTCCTCAGTCTTTTTAGTCTTAGGACCCAGAGATACATGTTTAAGATACAATGCGAATTTCAAAAATATTGAAATAAAATAAGTAGATGTTTGTGTTTGTACTGGATTGAAATAGATGGGAATTGTCTTAAATGGAAAAAAAAAGTGTTCTACATGAAAGGTACAAATTATGTATGATTGATGGAAAAACTGAAAAGGTAAAAGGTAAATTTTTCCCGTTCTTAAAGCTGTATTAGGTAACTTGTTTTGAAGTTGTGCTGATGGAAAAACAACTCCAGTAAAACCACTTCAGCTGTCAGTGGCATTGCTAACTGGTCTAAGCATTCACAGCAGACTCCTTTGTGGGGAAGGAGCCGTAGTGCAGCAGAGAACAGGAAGAGGGTGTGAGCAGTGTGTACAGTGCTAAGACCTTCCTGACTCTAATTGGTCATTTGACTGAGAAGTGCATTTCTGCAGATGGCAGTAGGACCACAAGGAGGTAGAACTCAATTTTTATTTTCACAAAATGTCCATTGGGCGGTGAGTTTTAACGTTAAAATAAAACTTAAAACAACTCCTATTGCAATTTTGAATTGCTGTGCTGCTTCCATAAGCTACGTTACTGAAAGCCAGTGGTAGAAGGAAATCAGAAGCTTTCAATTTTTTTTTTTTTTTTTTCCAAAAATGCAGGAGATCCCATTACTGGATGCAAAATGTTGCTCAGACTCATTAACTTCAGTGTGAAATTTAGCTTTTCACAAACTGTGATTCAGATAAAAAGAGTGATTCTAAGGATGACCATTGGTGTCTTTATGTAAGTAGAAAGAGGCCTATTTGCATGGGAGTTGCTCTATTGCAGTTTTAAAATTTAAACACAATGCAACATTTGTGCTACTGTGTAAAGAAAATAAAAAAAGTTAAAGCTGCTGCAACCTCCTATTGTTCAAGTTAACCTGCCAGCTATTTGCTGCTGTTACACAATGTGGGTTGACAATTACACAACTGTTAAACCACATTTCTCCAAAATGAAAAGGGTAGGTTATTGCAAAGCTGCTCATCCCATTTAAAGTGAACTGGCTACAAATAAAATAATGGAGAAAAAAAACAACCTAGACAAATACATAGGATTTAATTGACTCCTTTTAAACACAAGTTCCACAAAACTGTCATAATGTTGCCTTTACTAATGTTGATCTGAGTGACAAGGCTGTTAGTTTCAGCAGCAGATGTCACTAGTGAGGACTGAATGAAACAGGGAGTAAGGAACCTTAGAGCAAAGCAAAAGTGCTAGAAAGCTTCATTGCTTCATGAGGCCATGACTATTAAAACCACACCAGCAAAAGCAGTTAACTCTGAGAAGCTGTTTCTAATTTCACAAATGAGCTGAATTAAACAAACATCCATTTACAGATGTTGGGTGGGAGAAACAGTACTTAAAGTTACTGGACCTGTGCACACTGCTGACCAAACAAGCAACAACTCATGCTGAGATGTGACCATGTGAGAGCAGAAAAGAGTCTCACTTTATACTCAGCACACCAGCTGGCAGTTAATTGGATGCACAGGTGTTCTCAATCAATGAGAGCAGGCTTCATTCATTCAGGTACATTTGGGAGACACCAAACACTGCACCTCACCAAAAACACACCAGGTGGTGGCAGCATCATCCAACTGCTGTGCTTTTAGGCAGCAGGACCTGAAAGGCCTGTAAAAGTAGAAGGTAAAATGAATGTAGCATGTGTGCCAAGTCAGGACACAGCTGTGAAATTAGTCTTTGGGTCCAAAATAATGTCACTCATTACAGGACTTTCTGCTCCACATCTAATTTATTTTGTCACATTTAGGCCCATCAAAAATGTGAAGTCTATGGCAATGTCCTTTGGCCACAGTTTGCACACCATCTCTGTTTTAAGTATTTATTTGTCACAGCTAAAAATGTTTTACACTATAGACCATACATAGAGTTACTTTTATTTTACATTTTATTTTTGTTAAAAAAAAGAATAGTGGCAATTAGCACTTAAAACAAGTTTTAAACAAATACACTAATTTCCATTCTCATCCCAATGCTATTACAAGTCTAATATGCAGTTACCCTTAGCCCTATGCACACAACATACAAAAAGAGAAGCACATACATGCACACACACATGCACACACACACAACACTTTTTTTTTTTTTAAATCCCATGACTTTTCTGCATGTCAACTATATATTGGGATATGTGGAGCAGACTCATTGTCTGCTGCATAACGCTGTCTAACCATCACCAGGTGAGTTTGTGTGTACTGTTGTTTCTGTTTAAACAGCTGATGAGTCCTTAGTATTAATGAAAAATTCTAGGTAAGAAAAAATGCAACAGGTAGTATATGTAAATTGTAATTTAGTGATTTTTAATTTTTCTTCTATTATGCCTGACATAAAACATATATTGTTGCTGTGATAATGAATCATTACAAAACACATTCATCTGAAAATGAAAAATGTGAGTAAATGTAATATGTTCTTAGGATAAGAACTGCTGCCTGTCTTCTTTGATTGATGAGCTTGAAGTTAAAATGTAAATTTGCTTAAAATAATGACCTGAATAATTTGCAGGAACCAATCAAGAACTAAAATGAACTAAGTTACACTATGTTTTAAAAACTAAATAGTATTATTAGTATTTCATAATCATATTTTTTGTTGAATACTGCTTGTATTCTTTTTAATAATTTTAAGTGTGCTAATCATCACTAAAACCTCAGAGTTTAAATGCTATCTTCCAGCCTTTCCAAAGTTTTATCAATAACCTGTTGAATTTTTTCTCCACAGTTTGGCACATTGTCAGATGATTCTCAAGTCCTCTAAATGTTGGTATGAATACCACTACTGTCAACCGGGACCCGCTTCATGTTGCAATCTTAAAGAATGTGATCACTGTGGCCCTCTCCCTTGCCATTATCTACATTAATGGTACTCTGGTTCATGTATTCAGAAAACATCAGGTATCAATTTTATGCATTTTAAGAATACCTAAAATATTGCAGAGAGGTTAAATAACATCAATAAATTTCTTATATTGATGTTGGGAGATAGTTACAGAAAACATTGGCTTCTGTAGATATGTTTTCTGACTTCAGATGTCAGAAAACAAAAACACGATTTAACCAGTTGGGATCCATTTCCCACTATGAGTTTTAGAAATCGAAACTTAGAAGTAGACTTCCTAAAATATCACACTTATCTTTTCTTCTCTGTTTCTGAAAAATCTTGTCTTTTGTTTCAGGTTTTCAACACAAATTCTCGTTACATCCTGTACATCCACCTGGTAATCAACGATATCATCATGCTCGCAATGATGATCCTCCTACAAGTCCTTAGTTACATTTTGTTCACACTCAATGTCTCATTTTGCATCGTCATGCTAATACTTGCCGTATCTACAGGTCTAAACAATCCCTTAACGCTTGCTGCCATGGCTCTAGAGTGCTACCTGGCCATATGCTTCCCTCTCCGTCACCCTCAGATCTGCACGGTCAGGAAAACTTACATTGTGATCACTATGATATGGGTCCTAAGTTTATTGACAATCTTACCAGATCTGTTCATAATTATTGCCACAAGACCTGCAGAGTACTTTCATTCCAGTGCCTTCTGCTTGTGGGCTAATGTTTTTACAGACCCGAACCTTGCAAAGAAGAAAGATGTAACCAACATTTTGTTTCTAGTCATTGTTTGGCTCATTCTTTTTTATGCATACTTTAAAATACTTTTTGCTGCACAGGCCGCTTCAGTAAATGCAAAGAAAGCAAGGAACACTGTCCTACTTCATGGCTTTCAGCTGTTGTTATGCATGCTAAGCTATATTCACAGTATATCAATACAGGGCCTGTCAATTTTGTTTCCAAAAGATACTCTAGCCATTCGGTATGTGATTTCTCTACTGATTCAGGTCATGCCAAGGCTCATCAGTCCGATGGTTTATGGCATAAGGGACAAAATGTTCAGACAGTACCTTATAAGATACTGGCTACCTTTAAATTCAAACGTTTATCCAGAAAATGTCCAAAAAAGTTGAACATAAGGATGTCTATATTTCAAGAACCTTTTTAAAGGCCCAATATGGTCTTTGTCTTTTTTCCTTTATATTGAACTAGATATGATAGTGTAAAAAGAGGATACCTCACTAAAAGTCTACCCCCTAAAACAGCTTTGGCAAGGAGGTAGCACTTTTGATATTACATCATAAAAGGTGTAGGTTGAAGAAGTGTGATACAGTTAAATTTCAGTTCAGTTGTGCTTCAGTTGTCTGTGACTTTCATGTCTTTGTAAAGTTTTATTTTCCTCCACTTTATCGTTTCTGTATGAGCCACACTGAAACTTCACTGTTTAAATTCTAACCAACAAAATGGGAATGTTTTGTCACAGATTGAATAAAAAAATCATGCTATTCTCAGTTGTCATTTGTCTAATTTACTAGAGCTCCCTTTTCATACACTAAATTTGTTAGATTGATGGTGGGCTGCACAGCACTGTAGTACTCAAAAAAATGCAGAAAATAAATAATAACCCTATTAAACAATTTTGTGTTTTCCAACTGTTATGAGTAAAAAAGTTAAGCCAATTAATTCAACCTAATGCAAAATTTTAGCTATTGTGGAAATGTTGTCTATCTCTAATAGCTGAAACATGTTTTAAACACACTAGGCAAGGCATAGACTTGTTTATGTTTTATGTTTTGTTTATTTATTTTTTGATGAGGAATAATGGTTTGGTGAAAGAGGATGGAAGTTAGTTTATTTGTCTAAAACTTAAGCTCAACACACTTGCAATGCTAACATGCAGTTGTCCTTAGCTACATCCACACAATATGCAAAAGGGAAGCACATAAACACACACACACACCCGCACACATTAACCCTTGACTATTTTTTGTTCCCTTGACTGTTCTCCACTTTAACTATATATTGGATTATGTCGAGCAGAACTGACTGATCTGCAGCATAAACCAGGTGAGTTTCTGTGCAGTTGCTCAGTTTAAACATTTAATGATTATTTAGTATTATTTAAAAATTTGTTTTTTAAAAATTGCAATAGTCAGTTGTGATTTACTAAATTTCTGTTTTGCTTCTAGTATTGGTACTCTTTGCAAACAGTATTGTGTTGTGAAATTGTATTGTTTAATTTTTTTCAGCTATTTATTTTTTGTTTGGAGTTGCATTGGTTGCAGCAGTGAAAAAAATATTTTTGATCAAAAGAAATATGTTATATTATTTATTACTGTGATCATGAACCATTACAAAATACATCAATTAGAAAATGTAAAATGTGAATAAATGAAGGATGTTTTTAAGCTAACAACTGCTGACTGTCAGCTCGAAGCGAAAAACAATAATTTGCTTTAAATGACAGGGAAAAATTAACTGTGACCATTACAGAACTAAAATGAACAAAGTTAAAGTGAGTTTTTTAAATACCATATTATTGGTATTCTATATAATGCATATTGAAGACTCTTTGTATTTCTTTTAATAATATTAAGCATATTAATAGATACTAAAACCTCACAGTTGAGTTTTTCAAACTTGTCTATGACATTAATTTAGTCAGTTTTAACAATAATCTGTTGTATATTTCTCCACAGTTCCACACACTGTGTCAGATGACCCCCAAACCCTCTAAATGTTGGTATGAATACTACTACTGTCAGCCGGGACCCGCTGTATGTAGCAATCTTAAAGAATGTGATCACTGTTGTCCTCTCTCTTGCTATTATCTACGTTAATGGGACTCTGGTTCATACATTCAGAAAACATCAGGTATCAATTTTATACATTTTGAAAATATGCATTAGTGTTTTTTGTGCAATAACTGAGGTAACATGGACCCAGTTTTCTGTTGTTTCAAATGTCATGAAGTTAAGTGGAAATTTTAGAATTGTTGTTTTTTAGTTGTTGCACTTGCAGCTTTAAAGTGATGCATGTAAAGATATGATAACAGTAGACAAAATGAGGCCATTGGAAAATTTAAGGTAAAATGTGAGTTATCTGCCTTCTCTCCAGTAAACATTCATTTAAGATATTAAATTAGGTTCATCAGTGTTGTTTTATTCAAGCAATTACACGGTCTACTTGTTAAATTGCTTTTGCCTTATATTTTTCTGAAAGTTGTATTTTTTAATTACAATTGTCTGCTGGGTTCATTAAGTATTTTAAAAAATGCTTAAACGTTTTGTGACAATAATGTCTGAATAAAGAACATGCGTCCACATCATACAACTGTGAGACACCACTTCAAGTTCATAATGCTTAACCAGAAGAAATTCTTGAAAACCTATTTTACTTCAGCTGTTATGAAATCACAAAACTTGTTGCTATGAAATGTTTCAGGTTACAGTTTTTACTAAACCCTTTAATTTGAATGTCTGTTTATTCCTGTATAAATTGTGACTTAGATAATTAAATTTGTGAAACTAAAGTACATATAAAGTTTCAACTGAGCAAGAACATTAATAATTTAAGTCCATTAACAAATACAGATTGATTATCCTAAAGTAGGAGGCCATTATTTAAAAACATGTTTTGATTATTTTACGTTCTAGTATCATTAGAGAACGGTTAAATAACACCAATAAACTCCTTTTATTGACCTTGGGAGATTGTGATACAGATGAAAAAAAATTTAAAATTAAATGTCTGAAAAGAAAAAGAAACAACTTTAGTACTGATATCCAGATTGTTTCACATTATGAACTTAAGAAGTCAAACCAAAAAGGTCTTTCTATCCCATTTCTTGAAATAACTTGTCCTTTGTTTCAGGTTTTCAACACAAATTCTCGTTACATCCTGTACATTCACCTGGTAATCAACGATATCATCCTGCTCGCAATGATGATCCTCCTACAAGTCCTTAGTTACATTTTGTTCACACTCAATGTCTCATTTTGCATCGTCATGCTAATGCTTGCCGTATCTACAGGTCTAAACAATCCCTTAACGCTTGCTGCCATGGCTCTAGAGTGTTACCTGGCCATATGCTTCCCTCTCCGCCACCCTCAGATCTGCACGGTCAGGAAAACTTACATTGTGATCACTATGATATGGGTCCTAAGTTTATTGACAATCTTACCAGATCTGTTCGTAATTATTGCCATAAGACCTGCAGAGTACTTTCATTCCAGTGCCTTCTGCTTGTGGGCTAATATTTTTACAGACCCGATCCTTGCAAAGAAGAAAGATGTATCCAACATTTTGTTTCTAGTCATTGTTTGGCTCATTCTTTTTTATGCATACTTTAAAATACTTTTTGCTGCACAGGCCGCTTCAGTAAATGCAAAGAAAGCAAGGAACACTGTCCTACTTCATGGCTTTCAGCTGCTGTTATGCATGCTAAGCTATATTCGTACTATATCAATACAGGGCCTGTCAATTTTGTTTCCAAAAGATACCCTAGCCATTCGGTATGTAATTGCACTATTGATTGAGGTTATGCCAAGGCTCATCAGTCCAATGGTTTATGGTGTAAGGGACAAAATGTTCAGGAAACACCTAAAACGATACCTGTTACCTTTAAATCCAGCCGTTCCTCCAAGAAAGGTACAAAAAAGGATAATATGAAGATATTTCTATTTTAAGTATATTTTTCAATTCCCAGGATAGTTTTTAGGGAGCCATTCTTCATTACTTCTTGTTCTATGACATCTAAAAGGGTGAAATTGTGGCTACCGTAGCAGAAGTCTACGGCCCTAGTAAGAAGGCAGTTCTGTCGATACATGCTGAGCTACTTCACGGCTCTAAGTCTGAAGCTGCGTGGAAGAAGTTATGGAGTGAATTCCATAAACACAAACCATTTAGTTTGCAAATAAATTCTTCCACCAAGTTTTAGTTTTAAACTCAATTTGGATTCATGACATGACTGGCTGTGTTAAAAAATGTTTACAAAGAACATTAATCATTCCTGTTTTATAATTTAAGAGTAATGCAACTATATATTAGCTTAGAATGAAAATAAGTAAAGCAACATGCTGAAAAATTCAACTACTAACAGATGATTAGCACAAACATTTTTACATCCAAAATGCACTAACCTCACATCAAGTTATTTTCTGCGATAGATTTCCATCATGGTAACCTGATCTAGCCTTCAGTCCTCACTGGAAACGACGGGAGTGCTAAAATAGCGACAGAAAACTACTCTGGATCATAAAAAATATTTTTGCAGTTTAAGCACACCTACATAGCCCAGACAAGATTAAGAGTTTAGGACAATCATGTTCTGGGTTATAAAAGTTTATGGTAAGAGGGAGAAATATCTTACAGTCCATGTTTTTACATTTTCTCCACTTTTTATTGTTTCTGTTTTGAATGAACCATACTTAGATTTCACCTTTAAAGTTTTTACCACAAAAATAACATTTGACATTTATTTGGTTGTCTGAATAAAAAAAATAACATAAATCATTCAGTTCACAGTCTTGTCATTTATTTAATTTACAAGAGCTCCTGTTTCCATACACAACAACAAAATTGTACCTTTGGTTTGATATGGAAAAACAAGTTCCATATTCACCTAGTAGTAGCTATTTTGTTGTCTGAATTGTTTTATTAGGGAATGCTAGTTATTAAAATTATTTATGTGTGAAATTAGGCTTAGTGCTACTGCACAAACAGATGTGGGTGGTTACACACACAGATATAGACACACTTGACTAGTTTTGATCCCATGACTTTTGCTCAGCATATATAAATTGAGCCGTATCAAACACAGCTGACTACTTGTCTGTAACATAACTGTGTGTAATCATCACAAGGTGAGTCTCCTTCATGCTGTTCTTGTGTGTAAACGTTGAGACTTCAGGGTAATTGCTGAGCCACAGGTTAGAGATGTTTCTGATTTGCCTGGTTTGAATCTTGTTGCTGCTGTCATTACCAGAGCTGAAGAGTTAATTCTTCAGCGCTGCTATTTTTCAAAAATCTTTCTTGTGATTTTAAGATGGATCATCAGTAAATTAGAAAAAAAAAATCTTTATGAAAGATTTATTTTTATTAAATTATGCTGAACTAAATTCTACTCTGTCAAAATTACGCCTTAATTAAATGCTTTGTAATAAAATAGTGATTTGCGACTCCTTTCCCAGCTCTATAAACTTGATATGCTGCTGTGTAAAATTTGATCACTTTTATCCTTGATAAATGTTTCTTTGCAGGTTGCCAGATTATGTCAGATAAGTTGCCAGTCCTTCATGTTCTGGCATGAATACCACAGCAACCAGGAATAAGGACCCCCTGCACATTGCAATACTTAAGAGTGGATTCACTGTGGTTTTCTCGCTCTCCATCATCTACATAAATGGGATTCTGATTCACATATTCAGAAAACATCAGGTATCAATTCTGTCTTATCCAGAAATTTACCTCGATTGCTTTAGTAAAAGATAATAAGTGACACAAAACATGTTTATTGTTGCTGTAAAATAAAAGCAGAACAATAAAATGCCATGAAGGATCTGAGTCTTCAGGATATTTTTTGTTGATGTTTGCAGTTGTAGAATTTATCATCTCAAAGAAACAGAAAGTTGTTTCACCTTGTCATGAATCGTATATGTCTTCAAGTTGCTAATTTGTTCTTTTCGTCATTGCATTTCTTCAGACTATGTGCTGGTCTCAACCAAAGTTAAAAAAAAGAATCTTTTTGTCTCAAGTGTGTAAGAGTGAGGAAGATTATTTAGATTTATTGTTGCATTTAATTTATCTTTTGATTTCTTTTCTATTAGTATTTCAGGCATTATATTAGAGTGTTAAGCAGTGATGCATCAGTCTGTGCAACACTGTGATCAAAAGACATTAATTATTACTAATCATTGATTGTCTGATGTAAACTAATGGAAAATCAGATTTTAAAAACAAATTTAAAATGAGAAATAATGCTGAAAATGTGCCGTTGTTTTAATCAGTTCATCATTCTGGCAGAGAACAAGGGCATTATTGCTTTTCCTCCTTTTATCCTGCTAATATTGTCAGTACACATTTGTTTTTCAATTTGTGTATGTTGACTTTAATAATAAAGGTAGATTTAGTGTCAAATTTAACATATCAACACTAAGCATTCTTAAAAGTTCTTTTTAATAGCACCTTGATGAAGAGGCTGTTTCTTCCAATTACTGAAACAAATGAATCGCACTCTTCTACATGATATTTATTTAAATAATATGTTACTTCAGATAAGTAACATATTCTGAAATATGTTACTTAGCTTATGTTATGTGTAATCGGTACGTATGATACCATTTATCATGTGTATGTCTGTTTTTTCAAGCTCAGTCATTAACCTGAACAGTTCACTGTTTTAGGGCCATGGTAGTACAATAGCAATGGATATTGCCTTTTAAAAACAAAAAAGTTTGAATTAATTGTGATTTTTTTTCTAATCCACTCAGGGTCAAAACTATACACACAGCCACATAAAAACTTAAAGTCATCTAAATGTTTTATGAAGTTTTGCTGACGAGTTTGAAATTGCATATTGTTTTTTCATTCACTTATAAGCCTAAGAAATATAGATTAGTTTACACTATTTTAGATTATTGTAACCTAATTAGTGATAATGGTAACATCTTTGCCTCTCATTTCCTGAGCGTTTTGTCTTTCCTTTCAGGTTTTCAACATGAACTCTCGCTACATCCTCTACATCCATCTGGTGGTCAATGACATCATCATGTTAGCACTGATGGTCCTCCTCATATTCCTGAGCCAGACCGTGTTCACAATCAATGTATCATTTTGCATTATCGTGCTTATTTTTGCCATATCTTCAAATCTAAACAACCCCTTAACGCTTGCTGCCATGGCTCTAGAGTGCTACCTGGCCATATGCTTCCCGCTTCGCCACCCTCAGATCTGCACAGTCAGGAAAACTTACATTGTGATCTCTTTGATATGGTTCCTAAGCTCTCTTACAATCCTGCCAGATCTGTTTGCAGTTGTGGCAACAAGACCTGCAACATATTTTAATTCCAGGATTTTCTGCTTGTGGGCAAATATTTTCACTGATCCACAGCTTGAAAAGAAGAGGGACGTATCCAACATTATTTATTTGGTGACTGTTTGGCTCGTTCTTTTCTATGCATATTTCAGAATACTTTTCACGGCACAGGCTGCTTCTACAAACGCTAAAAAAGCGAGGAACACTGTCCTGCTGCACGGCTTCCAGCTGTTGCTGTGTATGCTAAGCTATGTTCATAGTATAATGATTGAGGGCATCATAAAGTTTTTCCCAGGAGATGCTCTGATCATTCGCTTTGTGATCTCTTTGTTGATTCAAGTCACACCTCGACTCATCAGTCCAATAGTTTATGGAATAAGGGACAAATTGTTCAGAGAGTACCTGAAAAGATACTTTTTACCCTCAAATAAGGCAACCATTAATCCGGGAAAGACGGGAAAGAAGCCCACATAAAGGAATGCTCTACTTCCTGCAGAGGTTTTCTTATTTATTTTGAATCATACTTGAGCTTCTTAATATTTGAATGCATACTTATATATATATATATAAATAGAGAGAGAGAGATACAGATAAATTTGGTTCCCCTCATATGCAATGATGTAATTCTGAAAATCTTATATTTATTCTATGTTCTTCAACATTTTGTAAAACAAATAGTCTTGAGTGACATTTTCACACATGATATAATGAAATTAGTTTTGTTAAACAAAATAAACTAATTAAAATGCAAGTTTTGTCTCATGTTTTCTTCCAATAATTTATACCCTGTAATCAGTACTTTTTCAACAAATGTCAAAGAATGTTGCTTTTAACTACCTTGGGGTTTTTTTTATGTGTTTTTACACTTTAGAGAATATTATTGGAACTCTAAATGATTTCAGTAACTCAATTCACTAAGTGAAGCACATTATATTAACCAATTACACATCTACTGATGTTTTCAGGCCTTTATTTCTATTGCTAATAATGGTTTCAGCTTATAGCAAATTAATATAATATTTAAGTTTAGAATATTACATCCAGAAATGTAAGCCTAATAAGAAGTATCCTTAATATATGCTGAAAGACTATTTTCAAAAGGTATATGTGTGACAGTGCATATACTAGTTTGATGAATGACTGTAATCAAATTATAGTATCATGTCACTCATTGTCTGTCCAGCTATTTGTAAAACATGTTTTAAGCTAAGATTTCCCATCAAGAAGCTACAAATAATTTAAACTTCATATATGATTTAGTGAAAATAAAAATTAGTCATAAAGAACAGGATGAGAAAACTTGGAACTGATATCATTATTATCGTTTCAACATGGAGTCACATCATTATTCCCATCACATTTTCCAGCTCAACACCAAACACAGCTGCCTTTATAAAAGGCAGCTTCATTTTGCCTGCGTCTCACTCGAGGTCAGGTAAGTATAGGTGAGGAGCTGAGTTTCCTGTTTCCATTAGCAGATTTTAAAGAATTTGTTTTACATCAAAATGTAACGTTTTAATTAAACCAGTTTGTCACCCTTTAGTTTTTTTTGTTTTTTTTTAAATTTACCCTGTAATATTTTTGTCATGCTATGATTAGTGCATAGTTGACAAATGTTGACAAATGTGGCTTCTTTCAAGTCTGTGTAGAAAAATCTGTTTAGCTCTGTTTTAACACGGGAATTTTATCATCTGTTTTTGCTTAAGAAAGATGCGTTTAATGACAAATACAGAATGCAAATATTATAGAAGTTTTTGTGTTTTGAACATGTTTAAGATATTTTGAATGTACTTTTATCAGCATTTACTGTCATCTTTCTTTTACTTGGTTTCTCTCTGATGTTGCAGTGAAGCATGAGCTCATTACTGAGTCTCACAAACAACACGACTTCCCCTTATCAGGTGTGTTGACAGAGAATAGCACTGAAATATAACATGCCAAACATTTTTCCAAAGAATCAAAAGGGGTGGTAAGTTTTTTTTAAATTTATTTTTTTTATTTTTAGGAAAGATTTGGGAAAAGATCAGGAGTCACACAGAATGTGTAAAGAAAGACTGAGAAATTTTAGTGGTGCTTGTTTTTGTTGTTTTGAAAACCAAACACCTGCACATCCAGGTTTATAGGAAGTTTTATTTTTCTTGTAATTTTGCTATTCATTTGGTACAGTCTCCAAAGCTTGCAAGATGACAGATAATGATATTAAATGTGACATATTTGCATAATCTCTGTAATTAATGTTTCTTGTTTCCTCCTTTTTCTGATCAGTCTGTGCTGTACAGAGATACTTTCACCATGGCCTTGGTGAAGAACCTGATTGTTGTGCTGGTCTGGCTTGTCCTCACGTATATCAACTGCACCTTGGCTGCCACGTTTTTTAGACATCAGGTACACACATCTACAGCTCAAAACAATAAACAGTTGTATTTTTCTTATTTAATTGTATTTGCAGAGTATCTTTGTAAAGTATTTGTCTATAGGTTTCAGACAGGATGAAAAATCTAATGTTATGAAACCTGTGAAATATAAATTTTAGATTTATTTTACTGTCTAAAAGTCTAAAACAAAATTGTAGTTCAGGCTGTATGTTGAGGGTCATTTCTCTTTTCTACTCTAATGTCTGACCAGTTTCTCTGTTACTGAAAAGGAAACCAAAATGTGTAAGTGGTTTCTGTACACATGTTGGTGAGTAAGGAAACACACCAACATGTGTCAAACACAACTTTCTATTGTTTATTTGTCAAACATTTTTTTAAACCGATCAATTAGATCTTTTGGTTGAAGATTTACAGATTCAAATAAATTCTACTCATTTTATTTTTTCCAGGATGTTGATGTTTGGTCATGGTTAGTTCATGATTCATATTACACTTAATCTAATTTTAGTGTAATCCTAGATGATCTGGTAATACATAAATACAAATTTAAGCCTCTATCTTGTTTGTCTTCCAACAGATTTTCTACGAAGATCCTCGTTACATCCTCTTCATCCACATGGTGATCAATGACGGCATTCAGCTCACTGTGACCGTCACACTTTTCATCCTCAGCTACATTTTCTACAAGATCAACGTCTCGCTCTGCTGCTTCTTCATCCTGGTGGCGGTCTTCACCACCAGAAACACCCCAGTCAGCTTGGCCGGGATGGCCATAGAGCGCTACATTGCCATTTGCAAACCTTTGCGTTACTCTCAAATCTGCACAGTGAGGAGGACTTACGCAGTCATCGGACTGATTTGGTTTATATGTGTGGCCCCGGATATAACAGATCTGTTTGTGTCTCTGGCAACTGAGCCATTAAGCTTTTTCCAATACAACTCTGTGTTCTGTTTGCGGGAGAACGTGTTCAAAGATCCAATCCTGGCTCAGAAAAGGAAAGCCTTTGATATTATTTATTTTTCATGTGTTTTTCTTACTCTGGTCTTTACCTACCTGAAGATCCTGTTTGCAGCCAGGGCGCTCTCCACAGCTGAACCTTCAGCCCAGAAAGCCAGAAACACCATCCTCCTTCACGGTGTCCAGCTGGCCATGTGCCTGCTCTCCTACATCTCTCCAAGCGTGGAGATTGTTCTACACATCATCTTCCCGGGTCGAAGCCTCGAAATCAGATTTGCAAACTACCTGATTGTTTATATTCTACCTCGGTTCCTGAGCCCGATAATTTATGGAGCCAGAGACAAGAAGTTCAAGAAGTATCTAATGATGGACTTGCTAAGATGTAGCTGCAAGTATAAAGGAAAGCCAGTGGTTCCACTGAACAAAGACAGAATGTGAAAATATATATATTTTTTACAATACCATAAATAGATGTTTGCATTATGGACTTTTGATTATGCTTGCCAAAAATATAAAACTTTCATTTAACTAAAAATAATAAATATTTACAATTTAAGGTTTGAAAAATTATAGTTAATTCTTTTTACAAAAATTCAATTTCAATAATATAACACACTTTAATAAAATATGACATATATTGCTGAAACCAGAACTTTATAGATACGGAACTAGGAGATAAATATCATTTCTCTACTGCCTAACTCAGATTTTTGTTGTTATTGTTGTTTTAGGTTAAATAGGATTACCAAAGATATTTATATTTGCATAATGCTGCTATAATGAAACAACTTTACATGTTTTCTCAGTGCATTTACATCATTTATAGGTTTTTTCATAAACACAGTGGGAATGTTCAGCCATCACACTGTTCAGGGAAGACCCACAAATTGAAACAAATTGAATATTCATGAAATGATCAAAGAAAAGGATGGGTTAAAAAAAAAAAAACTTTTTTTTTCAAAGTAGGATGTTCTTTGAAAAACATCCTTCTTTTTTCAAAGGACAGATCAGATATAAATCATCTGGGGCCCCAGACCTGTTCTATCTGGGCCTACACATGTTTTAAGCAAAACTGTAAGAATTTTAAGAGGTATGTTTAATCCTCTGCATTCAATGCATGTTAGTTACTGCATCAATGAAATTTAATTCTTATTGCATCATGTTTGATGCTGTAATTATTATGAAGCACTTTGGTCCAGCTGAAGTTGTTTTAAATGTGATATTTAAATAAACTTTAACTTGATTTGACTTGACTGCAGTGTGGCAGGAAGGCGATCAGTCTGTGACTCTGCTGAGGTCCAGCCTTCAGGTCACCTGCATCGTTGGCTGTGATGTCTCTCATCCTCCTCTTGGTGATAAAATATCCCATAAACTCTCTGTGGTGTTCTGGTCAGGCAGGTTTTCTATTTTGGAAAGCTGAACTGTTTAAACACAAACTGAACCATGTTATGTCTTATTCCTGACTTTTTAATGGCTCAGAAAGCAAAATATGTCCGCATGCTCATTACATCGTAACCTATTATATCATAGCCTCCGTCCAACCCATATACCTGATTCATACTCAGAGACCAACCAAAGCAATGCCAGGTTCTTTATAAATGAGCAAGCGGAAGTTTCTGCTTCTCATGAAGTCAGTGCTCCGTCTTCAGTTTATGATCTGTGAGTAAATAACTTTATGTTTCAATTAATCGCTTTAGGATTCAGCTGACATTTGATTATCTGTCATATCTTAAGCTTGGTGTACTTGTCTTGTGAATTTACTGAATTTGTCTATAAAACTTTCCAGTCAAGGTAATTTAAGAGTAGAACCTTTTATTAATTGTGTGAAAATAGTAAAACATCCTGAGTATTTCATGTTCATTTTGTGTAGCTCTAGCCCTATTACTAGAACATAGTTATATATTCAGATGCTTTATGTGTTTTCCAATACAGCTCTTTTCTGGAGTCTTCAATATGAATTATAAAAGCCTCTAAACAAGGTGGGCATCTGAACAAAATCTATCCAACAGATCTTGTCAATAAATCTTGTGTATTTTAAATCAGGTGTTTTATAAAACAGTTCAATAATAATTTTTGTACGACAGCATTATGTATAATAAGATTAGTTAAAAAAAAACTATTTAGTTGAATTCTAATTACTTATTAGAATTCAACTAAAACATTAAAACATGTACCTGTAATGCACCAGCAATCATCCCATGTGTATCTTTATTATTTTTATTAAATAGAACAAGAGTCCAAAAACTAAACAACAGATTGGATCTCTGTACTTCTTTAGACAGAGTGGAGGAGATGTTGGTGATGAATTCCTCCTCCTCCTCGGTGCCGCTGGCTCTTCTCTTGAGTAACAGCACATCGACAGAGACAGGGCTCAGTGTGGGTCAACCTAAAGACAGTTTCTCCGATGCTTTAGCTAAAAACATTGTTGCCGTTATGGTGTGGCTGGCCCTCAGTGTCATCAACAGCAGCATGGTGTACACCTTTCTACAACACAGGTATGGATGTTTAGTTAGACATAAAATTACAGACACAAAGTGCTGTCATGTCATGTTATGTAGTGTTCACTATGATTGTACTGCAGATGAAGAAAGAAAAAAGGAAAAACTAAATACAAATGAACAGCTTGTTCAGTTCACCTGTTAACTTTCCACAAAGACAGGACATTGATTATCATACAAGTATTTGCCGTAGCTGTTATATTTTCTAACTAACATGAACATATGAGTGTCCATTTCTCTCTCAGCTCATTTCCTTTGACCTTAGTGTCTTTTATGAGAACTCCCGGTACATCATGTTCATCTGCATGGTGGTCAATGATGCTCTGCAGCTTACGCTGGTAACAACTCTCTATGTGGTCAGCTACGTCTTCAGGAAGATCCACGTCTCCATCTGTTGTCTTCTGGTAAATTCTGGCTACTTTTTCTTTAATCACCTCTGCTGCATAGAACCTTGTCTAAAATAAGACAGTCATCTTAAATACTCAGTTTTTTTCTTTTCTTCACATAAGCAAAAATATATTTTTAACATAAGTGGAGAGACATAAAAACAAAAAGGGAAAACTCAGGAAAAATAAGACAATTCAGTGCACAAAACTTCAGTGTGGTATTGCTTGAATTCAATGTAATCATTAAATAATAGCCAAGAGGGTCAATACACAAATCAAGATCACAAGACAAAACGCAAAAAACTCTAACAAAGTTTGTCTTAATTGTTAAAGTACAGAAGTTCCTTTTGACTGTGGCCTGTAATATGAACCAAGGAATACTTTGTTTTAAAAACTGCAGTATGTTTGTAGCCAAAATCAACAATGTAAACCAGTAGTACTTTTAACATTTGCATTACATTTCTAACCACAGATACAATATTTGCTCCATCTCCAGATAATGACGGCGGTCTTCACCACCCGCTCCACCCCTCTCATCTTGGCCGGGATGGCGGTAGAGCGCTTCATCGCCATCTGCTTGCCGCTGCACCACAGCCACATGTGCACAGTGTCCCGCACCATCTTCCTCATCGGTGTCATCCTCATCCTCACTGCCACCCCTCCGATCACTGACCTCCTCATCACCATGATCAAGGCGCCTCCAAAGTTCTTCCACAGGACCATTTTTTGTGACCACTTCTTTCTCTTCTCTGATCCTTCCATCTATTACAAGAACTGTGTGTTTGATGGGGTGTACCTCTCCTTCGTGGCGCTCACGCTGCTCTACACCTACTGTAAGATCATGCTGACAGCGCAGGCTGCCTCCACCAGCCTGGCGTCAGTGAGGAGAGCCAGGAACACTGTGCTGCTTCACGGAGTGCAGGTGATGTTTCAGTGTCACTGAGCAAAACAATACCTGGTGTTTATCTGCAATAAAAACAGACGTCGTTTGAATATCTATGATTTACAAATACGAACCAGTACGTTTCAGTTTTTAGTTAGTAAATAATCACAGCCATCTCAGTCATCACAGACCAATGTATAGGGTTCTTCTCCATGTAGATGCTTTCAAGATAAGCATCTATTTAGTCCAAATATATTAAAATAACAGTCAGTGAATGTTGCCTAGTATTTTTTGGTCGTTGCCTTTTATAACAATGTTGAAAAAATATAAAAGTTACACAAGAGATGCAGAAAGTCTTTATGATTTAGGTATATCTGAGAGTAACTAATTTGATTGATAAACATCGAAAATATAAAGCACAGCTTGATAAATAGCTAATTTGTCCACTTTGTTTTACCAAAATCAATAAAATGTTAGTAAATAAAACTCTTTTGTACACAACAGATTGTGAAGTGTTTGGTTTGTAATTTCCTGTAATTTGATAAAGAACTGAGTTTTCATTTGATATCAAAAGGATTTTACTGGTTTCAGTTTATTACTTTGTCTCTAACTTTCTTTGCATTTGTTTGTACACATGAACTCAACATGTAATCTGATTTTTCTCCCTTCCTCACGTTCAGCTGCTGCTGTGCATGTTGGCCTTCGTGGTTCCCTCCCTCCAGGCTGCTCTGATCTCCCTGTTCCCCCAGCTCATCCTGGAGATCCGCTACATCTTTTTCTTGCTCGTCTACATCATCCCTCGCTTCATGAGCCCAGTCATCTATGGGTTCCGGGACGAGCTTTTCAGGAAGTACTGGACCCGGTATCTGTCCTGGCCCAGGCAAAGGGTCAGTGGGATCAGACCTGGAGCCTTAAAAGACGCCTGCATATGAAATGAAGTCCTATATGAGGCATGAAGATCACCATTTAATGAGTGAATTATGATGTGATTTCAGGATTTAAGACAAATTTGTCTATTTAAGACAAAATTTCTGACTTTTGTGACTTTTTGAACTGCTAGTTTGACATAATCAGAAATGTCAATCAAATTCTCAGAATACAAACTTAAAATCAGTTAATTCAAGGAATGATTAAAATGTACAATACGTGGCATTAATATGACATTCTAAAAATGAAACCTACTGTTCATTACAAACATGAGGGAATAATTACAAAACCAAACTCTAAACCATTTCAAAAGAAAAAAACAAGCATGCACTCATCACTTTCTTTATTATATACCCATTCAATTGCTTGTCTGCACAATGGTAAAATCAATTACATGTCAGCAACTCAATGCATTTAGGCATCTATTAATGTTATCGGAATGAGAAGGAAATTAAATAGCATGGTTTTGATGACAAACGGCAATTTTGAGCATATAAAAACTCACGAGTTCCTGAGATTTTAACTTTCAAATATGTCTTTGGTTTGCAAATAATGGTCCAAAGAAATATCCTGTTCTGTTGATATTGTTTCTTTGCTGATGTCTCTGATTATAACAGGCAGAATGGCTCGAATAAAAATGCAGCAGTATTTCAAATAGACACTATTTCTGATCACATTACTGCAGGAGACGACCACAGCAGAGAGCACTCAGTTCAGAACAAAAAGATTCAAGCTGGTTTCTTCAACATGACAATGAAATCACTGCTCTGAGTGGACCACGCAGTCACCAGATCTAAGTTCAATTGTTATTTTGACCTTCAGTTGTTGAGGAAAAACAACACTTTGGCCACCAGATGGAGCAATCAGCTTAGTGATACCTTAACTTGCATTAAGCAAAGTCTATTGTTTTGATAAAGAAATTTAAATAAATGGGCCATTTTTAGTAAATGGACCTACAAAAAAAGAACATATCACTGTTTCTCTGCCTTTAAATTATTTAGGAAAAAAAATAATGGTTGCTCTGTTTATGTTATATTATAAACAAAATAAAGAATTCTTATTCTTAATATGGTTTATATTCATAGTACTGAGGCCTTTTGTTCTTCTGGATGAAACAAACTAAATGCTTTACTAATTTATCCTTTATTACAACAACACAAACAGCTAAAATAGACTCAAAATTCATTGACTATTTTTAAAGCCAATTTTGGATTAAAGAGCCAGAAACCCAATTAAGCTCCTCAGAAACATTTTCAGCTTCCTACAGTTTTTCTTTAGCTTGCAAGTAAAAATTGGTTACAAAATAAAGCTGACACCTTGAGTTGTTTAATGAGTGTTAGATGACTAGTGAGATGTGAACTTTTTTTAAACAACAACAAAACACGATAAAAAAAACTGACCTATTTAGCTAACGAAATGATCATTGCCAACTACTGCATAAAACAAAACAAAACAAAAACTCTACTTAGGAATAGTTCTATTAAAAACCACTGGGTGTCGCCAACACACCGTGAGAAAACGTAAGAAAAGCTTACGAGCTTGGGAGGTAATGCTCTTTGGAGACGGGTCTTCTTTTTCCGGATTGTGACGGGAAAAGCCGAAGATTCCCTCCGAGAGAGACGGAAAGAAGCCGTAGTTCAGATGGAGGGAACCTGCACCCCTCCTGCTGAATGGGTTCTCTTCTCAGGAGTCGTTAGCTGTAGATGAAGCAAAAGGCTCACTTTACTCAGAAGAACAAGTCGTCTTGTATTCAGTTTTTTTTTCCTACTTGTTTGAGATTTGATCGTTTTTGGATAAGTAAGGATAAAACTTACTAAACCATCATGGGGTGAATCTGACATTTGATGATGAGGACGTTGTTCTGGTGATGAAGGAGCGTCGTCAGAAGACTCAGAAGTAAGTAGCAAAGACTTTTTCTCAGTGAAACCAGGAGCTTTTAAGACGATCCATTCAAACATTATTAACAGTGCTCGGTGATTGCTACCATATGTCCACCCTACAGTAGTTTGTTGTTGCAGCTGCTTCTTTGGATAGTTGAGTTTCAAGCAGAAGTGTTGAATTATAGATCAACTTTATTTCTGTTTTCATCATGTTGAGCCCCACTGGGAGCTCATCATAAGATCATCACGCACAAAGATTCGTTCTGTCCCACAGTTAATTGGCTTTGTTGGCTTTCCCGTTATAAATTATGAAACTAATAACATTTTCTTCGCAATTGTCAATAACAATAACGGTTGTAAAATGAATTGAGTTTTAATGAAAGCAACACAAAGGTAGATGCTAATCTTGATGTTTCTCAAACTAAATCCTGGCACAACACTGGAGAACTGCAACAAAACGAGCATAATACTGACATAAGAGAGAATAAATTACCAGGATTTTTATAGGTAAATGAATTGATAAAATGGAAAAAGTCATAAAGGTTTTGAGTTTTTATTTTAAACACGATTTTTTTTAGGTTAAATAAAAGATTCATCTTTGCTAAACATTTTTACACGATTGCTTAATTTAGACAGAAATTGTTCAATGACTTACAGGACAAATCCTGACAGCGAGATGTGAACAGAAACATATAAATGCAGTTTTGGCTTGATTTACAGCAGGCATAGGCTGGTTAACAAATGAAAATGCAACAGTTTCATAAAGTCACATAGTTCTTACAATAAAATACCTGGTATATTTTTAACAGGTCTACTCCATCCCCACCTGTTGGTGCACACTGCTGGTAAGCTGGCTGAAAAAAAGACTGATAAACACTTTTCTCTGTCTCTTAGATAATGGAAGTTACATTTATGTAGAGATTAGTAGAGTAGGGATTGCAAGAGAAAGTGAAGAAAAAAATTATCTCCACTTACTAAAGCATTTGTTGCAAACCTTTACCAGGTTTTTTAAAATTTATTTTTCTTCATTAAAGAGGAAAAGAAAATACTTCATCCAACTTATTGTCAGTTGATATTTGTAAATGCTGGTAAGTTTTAGTTGAAAAATAGGAAAAACGTCTTTTTTTTTCTGATTTTGACCTGCTGATCACTGATCAGAGCAAAGAGAAATTGAAATCCCTGATCTATGAGTTGGTGCAGAAGGTCAAGGTGAATAACTGCTAGGTCAAAAAATAAAGAGTAAGTTTCTTTTCACTATATATAAACCAAAAGATTTTATTAAATATTTTAAATTATATTGTTTGAAACTGTTAAATCAAGCAGAATAAAGTGTGCATGAAGTAAGTCTTAGCTTTTTTTCGTTCTACTTTTATATAGAAACAAATAATTAAGACCCACCAAAGTTCTCAAATAAGATACAATACTTTACTGTTGGCAAAAAAAAAAATAAAAAAATAAAAAATTGAAATGCAAATGAAATAAAAGACATAGACATGACCACAACCCAGCATGTCTGCTGGAAGGAACACACTGGAAACTAGAAATTAATGGGCAAAAAAGAAAGAAATAAAGGAAATCATTGCTAAGTCTGCTTTATTAGCTAGTTGTCAAAAGCTGGAAAGGAGAATTATTGAGCAGGGAATTTAATGTTCATAAAGTTTTTTTTTTTTTTACTGATTAAAAATGCAACATGTAAAAAGTTTATAGAGCTCTCAGGACTTTAAATGAAGGGTTCCCAACGAAGGTAAAGAAACATCAAAATTTCAAAACAGCATTTGATCCATCACCCTCTCACATAAGAATTGGTGGAAAAAGGAAAACACGGCCTAGTGTGGGTCAGCAACGCAAAAATGATGAAAACAAAAACATGTATTGCAACCAAATCTTGACAGGTTGTTCAGGCATCTCCCAATGGCTCAGCTGAGCAAAACATTGCGTATTTTATCTCTGCCTCTCCAAACACACATCGCCTCTCTATGAGCTTCCAGGGAAAGAATCATCATGAGGAACTGATTGACAAATCAGAGGCAGAGTTAGGGAAATGTGTGAAATATTTAATGCCTTTCCCTGTAGCAGACAATGATCTAGTTTTTTTGTTTTTGATTTTGTAATTTCCTTAGCTTAGAGGGAGAGAAAAAAAAGTCACCCAACTGCTTTTGAATAAGATACTATCTGTTGACTGCAGCTGTTTTAAATTCAACATTTCAAGCATGTTATTGTTTTATTGAACAAAAAGATGAGCTCACATTCAGATCAATCAATAGGATGACACTTTGAGGTCAAGCTAGCCAATGGTGTGGGATGAGCGGTTGCTGTGGCGAACTAAACAACAAGGACATTTTAAAGAAACTTAGAGGAAATAACTTCTCGTGTGAAAAATGTATGTTTTAATTCTAAAAGTTAGACAAAGAAGCAAAACTTCACAAAAAATTATACAGTAAACAGAAAGAGGGAAGGCAAAAGAACATGAAACACATTTAACAGGATAAAAAATAGACTTAAAATGCAAATGCAGAACTGAAACAAATGGACAATAAGAAAAAAAATAAAGATTAATCCTTTCCAATAAGAAAGAACCAAAAATCAAGTAAGGTGTTACATTTTTCAGCCACTGTTCACATCTATCATTTTAAAAACTAATTACGTGTCCCTCAAACAAACACACCGCCCACACATGATTTTTACACCAACATGCTGATGTCAGTATGGTTAGCTGATGCCAGATCACGTGACCATATAACTCAGGAAGATCTGATTAAATACCAGCAGGAAGAAAGAGAAAGATTCAGGAACGAATTAAGTCAGATCACTGTGGCTAAAATACCATTACGCTCACATTAGGCTTACACTGGAGTCCTCAGGCCGTTTCCCAAATTCACCAATTAGAGACTTTATAGCATTAGGGGATCACATCTAAGCTGCACTTTACCTGAAGCTATGAGTGGACTCTGAAAAGCTCCTGTCAATGCTGGAGTTTGGAGCTGCTGATCAGACATCACTCAGAAGTAATAGAACAAATGTGCAAAATAATACAATAAATATTTCATTTTGATAAGAGAAAGTTAACAGTTAAATCTCAGGTAAGAGTATTGCTCACTTAGCTTCACACTATCTTCAACGTATTT